AATTGACGAATTTCAAGCTGTGACACCTAATGATCCTTTACCAGGAACAGTAGTTGTCTTCACTTCCGTTGTTGTTCGCCACTTCGCAGGTCTCTTACATGGTTTTCATTCTAATTTTCCAACCTGTTCTTTTAGTTTATATTAGTGGTTATTGAGTTTTTAGATGTTATGGTTTTAGGGGAATAATATTGTGTGGGCTCAAATGCAACGAAAGTATATTGCAACTTGCACTATCCTCACGTGCACCCCCTGCTTGATAAGTAAGTGTTTAACCTTTCATCAATAGAATCAATTCTTTTATTATTCTTATTCTCATGTTTTGGAATTATTTTTTTTTATTTACAGTATAGAAAATGTCCCGCTGGCCATTGACTACACGTTGGAGGATGCTATATGGTTAAGTGAGATATGTTCCATTTCGGAACTGAATCTATACAAGACTGATTTCACCAACCAGGTAGTTTATATGTACACTCGGTCAACTCCTACAAAAATTTCCAAATTCATATTTTGCTCCCATTGAATATCATAATTGTTGGCCTGGACAACATGGTTGGATTTCACTGCGTCTCTAATGCTCTAACTTGACCAATGAAATATCAATTATCCTCTTACCATTCCCAAATGTAAGCTTTCATGTGGTTCATATTGCAGGGGAATTTGTACCTTACTACTGCAACAGTCAAGGATGTTACTGTTTCTTGGTCAAGTGTGCATCTCAAGTTTATGGTGAGGCTGACTGTTGCTACTGGTCCTCATGAGGCTTCTATCATGTTTATGACTACCAAGTTCCGTTGGATAGCAAGCCGTATCATTGAGGCTACAGACAAGGAATGGACCAATGACTTCAGGACTCTCCTAGCTGCTCTCAGGGGGAATATATTGAAGTTTATGATTGAATTCGGAGATTTCAACGGCCAGACCAATGAGTTTGATTTGGTTCTTCGCAAATTATTCTGGTAGAGGGTGTGACGTACGTGAACAGTGCTTTAATTCAAAGATAATTTCTGTATATTTGTTCCAATTATGAATGTTGAACTCTTTCCCCGAATAGATTATTACTTGGCTGCTCCATCTATCTCCTGTGGTTTTTACCAATGTGATGCTTATTATTATGTTCCAAAGATTACAGCCCACTTATTAAATTTCATATATTCGTATAAACATTTTAACTGAACAATTTTTAACTTAAATTGACCAAAAATGAATTCGTTTTCATTTGATTTCATGTTCCAACGTTTCTCAAATGCGACGCTTATGTTTAGTTTACCCGCCCAACGGGCCGGGCCCTGCGCTAGTTTTATTTCAAGCAAATAAACTTGTCAGTTGGCTTCATTCTTCGGTAACATAACAAAGCAAAGCCAGGAGAAACAATATGCAGAGTAATTGAAAGAAATGAGAACTAAACACACACTTGACACAAAGCAAAATCAATCAAGCAACCGATGAGAAGATGTCGCTTTAGCCCAACTCCTCTGTTGCTTCCGGAGAAAACGTCTTCATTTCACAAGCTCTATCAGTACCCACCTAGGTTCGACCTTTCCAAGATTCTTCTTCTGATCTTCATAAAATAGTAAGAACATTCGCCTTCTTCCTACACTGATAAAGCACAAATATATAGCAAGTATATATATTGTCGACCATTGGTGTGAGCAAAAAAAAAAATCTAAAATAATTTCACTTTAATATTATTTTCCATATTTTGAATAGCATTGTAACCCTAATAATTTCCACTTCAATGAGACCGTGAGAAATAAATGAAGTGGAAAAAATGATATTTTTCCTCCCATTTTTGGCATGGTCAGGTCGTCTGAATCATGGTTCAACCGTGGTTGACAATTTTTGGATGGAATTTTAACAGAAAGACATGTTTGGTAGTTTTTAGTCAAAATTAAAAAACTTTCCTGATGGCTGGTGGTAGAAGATGATGAAATATGATAATTGACAGTTAAATATTCATGGTGGTTTAAGGTGATATATTGATCATAAATTTTTTTACACTAGAAATTAAACTTATAAACTCAATAGATCAAGATGAACTCGTTCTTTTGGATCAAAATCATTAAAAAATTTGAGTTAAAATGAATGTGGCACCATGTGGTAACAAATTGATACAAGGTAATACCACATATAATGCAAATAAATATCATTTTGTAGATCACAACGAACCCGTACAATTTGTATAAAATAATTTAAAATAAAAATTGGAACGATCAAAATAAAAGCCAATTAAGAAAACTAAAAAAAAAAGAGTTATATTCTCACTCGTTAGATCTGATCCCACTTTAAATTAAGGTTCCATTATAAAAAAAAAGGTTCTAAATCTTGTTATATACAAAGATTATGCACCTGCAGTTGATCCTATCTTGGAGTTGGATTAATATAAACATAGTAGCGGAGTTCTTTCTCCGTGCTTGATTCATATAAACATCGTCGGTGATGACGCAACCCCGGTCGTCCTAGTTGCCGAATTGGACGGTTTGCTACATCCATCTGCCTCGAAAGTCTAAATTACACGATCATTCATATCTTTACTCTTATCTCCGGCTTGGAAACAGGCAAAGAAATGGATCAATAAGACCCATCCCCATGGCCAACTACTGCATATGGCAGCAACAGTTTTTGTCCCGATTTCCAACAACACCTCCACATTTCTCTTGCATGCCATTTCCTCCACCGCACCCCTATATTCAATTCTTTCCTTCCTTGACGACGATAAAGATGGTGGCAATGCATGGTTGGAGAAAGATGCCCTATTTCTCTTACGTGCCTAAACAACGAAGCTCCCAACAGCCATGTTTCTGATCCCATGCTGAACACCATATGCATGTTGGACAATTATTTCACTCCCAATTTAATATTTATTACACAACAATAATTCAGACCCTGAATTATACCTTTTGCATCGATTTAGTAAGTGGTATGTCACGACTAGGGCTGGAAGTTTGGTACCGGTATTTGGGATATACCGAATACCGTACCGAATTTGTCTATATTTGGTATTACCAAATACACGTATTATTTTGTGGGATTGGGATTGGGATTGAGTTTCAATTGTTATTCGGTATTAGGGATTACGGGATTGGGATCGGTATATACCGAAATACCGATCAATACCGAAATATAAGCTAGTGTGTATTTTATTCTCTCAACTAAACTCTCTCATTCACTTCTACGCGACCCTCCACCACTAAAAGTGTCATTTAATTATACATAGATCATTACATCACAATTTCACACTAGTATTAGTCGTCTCTCAATCTCAAATTCATCAAATTAAAGATTACCAATTACAAAAACTTGAGATGTTAGCTCTAGGCAACTTAAGACTCTTTGCTTAGTCTCTTTGCCCTAAATAAAACAATAAAATCTAATTTATATATTTAATTATTAATGGCAAACGTAATTAATTTTTTATTTGATAATACCAATTGGGATACCGAGGTACCGATTGGGATACCGAAATTATTTAGGGATTGGGATTGGGATACCGAAATTATTTAGGGATTGGGATTGGGATTGATTTCAGGGTGTAATTCGGTATTCGGGATTTCGGTATTTGGTATTGGGATACCGATACCGTACCGATTTCCACCCCTATTTTCAATGTTGGTCAATGGACATCGATCAAAAGAAATAAAAACCTCGAGAGGTCTTAGACAAGGTGATCCTCTGTCACCCTACCTCTTTCTTATTTGTGCGGAGGGTTTCACAGCTCTACTTAAGAAAGCGGAGAAGGAAAGAAGAATCCAGGGATTAAGATCTGTCACAGGGCGCCTACCATATCACACCTCCTCTTCCCTGATGACAATCTGGTCTTTGGCAGTGCTACCATAGAGGAGTGTGAAGAACTTAAAAGAATTCTGAAAGTCGACGAGGAAGAGTCTGGCCAAAGCATCAAACCTATCTAAATCTGAAGTGTCTTTTAGTAGGAACGTAAGATGGAGCAGAAGACAGGAGATCAGTGGAATGCTTGGGGTCAAACTGTTGAAAAACACAATAAATACCTTGGCTTACCTACTGTTATTGGAAGATCGAAAAGTGAAGTTTTTGAAGAGCTAAAAGAAAGGGTGAGGAAGAAGCTCAAGGACTGGAAAAGCCTATCTCTCTTTGCTGCAGGGAAAGAAGTTTTAATAAAAGCGGTTTCCCAAGCGCAACTGATATACCCTATGATGGTATTCCAGATCCCAGATGGGATTTTATAGGAAATTCAGAGACTGATCGCCAGGTTCTGGTGGGGCCAAAAGAATGATGAAAAAAGGATCCACTGGGTTAGTTGGGAAGAGCTATGCCTGCCTAAGGATGCTGGAGGGTTGGGATTCAAGGATCTAAGAACAGTCGATACTGCTATGCTAGGGAAACAAATATGGAATATTTTAAATCGGCCAAACTCTCTTATGGCTAAGATTCTCAAGGCGAGATACTACCCAAAAAATGAGTTACTGAATGCCAAACTTGGATACAATCCTAGCTTCATCTGGAGAAGCTTAGTTAAGGCAAAGGATGAGATTGTGGATGGATTCAGATGGAGGGTGGGTGATGGAGAAAGCATTAAGGTCTGGGAGGATTGGTGGATCCCTAGCATCAGGAAACTACCACCTAATCACCAAGGCGAGGAAGATGAAATTAACATAAAGGTGAGTTCTCTTATTGACAAAGACAATGGTTGGTGGGATCTCACACAGCGATAATCAAAGCATCAAGAACTACTGGAAGTAGGGATGGCAATGGGTCGAGTTGGGGCGGGTTTTGCCAAACCCGAACCCAAACCCATGGGTTTGTCCGTCAAAAAAACCCGGGTAAAACCCACTGTGTTTGAAAAACTCAAACCCAACCCAATCCGCTGGGTATCTGCGGGTTGATGGGTACCCGCGGGGTTTTTTGGTAAAATATTTATAAAATAATAATTAACAAGAAACTATCGAAATAAAAATCAAGCATAAATCTCAAAATAATAGCTCGAATGAGATCATACATAGATAGACTAATTGACAAAATGACTTTCTGGTACCAGAGTTTGTCAGAAGAGCCTTCAGCTTACACCACCAAGTTGGAACTCACCACCTATTAGTATTTTGCTTATTGTTCCCATTTGTCGAAAGGGAAGGAAAATCTGCAGAGGCAGTTCATCTAAGCTTTACTGTTCAGACTTTCAAGTACTTGATGGCAGTCTGAACATCCTTGTCCCCTCGGCCGCTGCAGTTCAGTACGACCTTAGTTTTATCAGGGAGGGTTGGGCAAAGCTTCTCAATGTAAGCCAAAGCATGAGATGTCTCCAGAGCCGGGATTATGCCTTCTAGTCTTGATACTCTCTTAAATGCTGCACGGGTGAAAAGAAATAGTCAGATGGATTGCCTTTACATCGTGAAGCTGTGCCAAAAAAGGGAGTTCTTCTGGTGTCTGAAAGGAGCAAACCCACTGAACAAGGGGATAGTCTAGCTATGTATATGGAAGTAGAGTATAGTTGTCTTCCATAGCCAAAACTATGGTTCTAGGCTTATTATACGACATGTTAATGGATTTCAACCAGTTGACCGATTAGCATTGATCAATCACAACCTCAGGCAAACTAACATGTTCTCCTATATCTTTACGGCGTATGAAAACTGATCAGATTGCGACTTACTCTCAAGCACCAGTGAGGTTAGCCAAAATATTAAATGCACCACATGAGCTCTCCAAGGAACTAGTAGTCAGGAAAGCATATGAAATATATAAAGCAGGCTTGGCAATTGGAAATTTGTTATACAAAGAACATATTCAGATGCACAAGCCAAAACACAGTACTAATAATCACAAAAATGGCCTATTCAAGAGCATAGCAAAAGAAAGCACAGCCTAGGAAGAACTTCCATACCTTCTAGTGCCTCCTCATCAGTGACACAATAGTATTCAGCACGGCCTTTCTCTTTCAGAAAGCTATGCTCAGGTCCAACTCCAGGGTAATCCAACCTATTCCAACAAGGCCACAATGAACTACGAACGACAAAGGTGTAATAGTCAAACCAAAAAGCAACCTATGAAGTAAACCAAATTAAAAAAGAAAAAACACCATATTCCCCATACAAACGAACCACTTCCAGTTTTTTTCACCTCTCCACCTAAGAGTCCGAGTCCCTCCATCCATCCGTCAAGACAGACATCAACTTCTAAATCATCAATCAACCCACTTGCTTGAAATGCAGGAATTCAAATCTGAATAAACTCCCAGCAAATGCAAATTACAATCCCAGATGAGATGAGGCAGTCCCAACAAAGCCATCGCGCATTTAAACCCCAAGGGGCCACCCTAAAACTACAACTACAGAAAGCAGCAAGTGGCGTTCAAATTATTTTTTTACCTCCTCTTGTTCTTACTCCCCAGGGAGAGCCGGAGAGGGTGGCGGGGGCGCGGGGCAGAGGAGCAGGGAGAGCCAGAGAGGGCGCGGCCGGTAATGGAGTCGGGACAGGAGGTGGCGAAGAGAGGGGGAGGGCGCGTCGGGAATGGAGGCGGAAACTCGAGAGAGGTTTTGGTGGTGGCGGGGCGGCCGTCGCCCGTCGGATTGGGAGTCGGGACAGGAGGTGGAGAAGAGGATTCGCGGTCTCGCGGAGAGGCAGATGAGTCGCGGAGAGGAAGAGAGGAGTCGCGGTCTCGCGGAGAGGAAGAGGAGTCGCGATTAGGGATTGCGATTTGTGAATTGTCTCTGGGAAGGGAAGTGGGAAGTGGGGTGGGGTCTGGGCCCTGGGGACGGGTAATTTAGGGTTAGCTGTATGTCCGGGTATCCACGGGTCGGGTTCCCTCAAACCCAAACCCGCCCAACCAGTCACGGGGTTTAAACCCGAACACGGCCCGAACCCAGTCAACACGAGTCTAACCCGGTTTGACCGGGTTGGGTCAGGTCGGGTACCCGCGGGTCCGGGTTGAACTGCCATCCCTAACTGGAAGAAGATTTGGAATCTCCCCATTCAGCCGAAAGTCAAAATTTTTCTATGGAGGATTAGCAGAGACATCTTACCGGTTGGTGCCAACATCGAGAAACGGATCGAAGAAGCTTCCTACGAATGCCCCTTCTGTGGACTCTCAGAAACTCAGGTCCATTATCTCAGGGACTGCGAGTGGAATCGTCGCCTCTGGCAACCTCGTAACGATTTTGGTATCTTCAGTCAAGGGGAAGGGCTCTCTTGACACGACTGGTTCCATAAAGCTTTTGCGACGCAACCGGAAGAAAATCTCCAAAAATTTTGTGCTGTTCTCTGGTTCATCTGGAAGGAGAGGTGCAATCACATGTTCAATAACAGAAAGATGGAAGAGGAGGAGATTATCCCGAGAGCTCTGGATTGGTTATCTAATTACCTCAAGGCGCAGGGAATCACAGCTTCAAACGTAAGACAGCCTGCCGATCTCAAGAGATGGAGAAACCACCAACAGGGATCTACAAGATGAATAGCGACGCGGGACTTTTGAAACCATCTGGGATTGGCATGGGCTATGTGTTCAGAAATTGGGAGGGGGATTTTTTGGGAGCAGTAGCTGGGAAAGAGGAAGGAAGTTGCAGACCGATCGAGGCGGAGGCCAAGGCCATCATAGCTGGATTGAAAGAGGCGAATCGAAGAGAATTGAGGCCCCTGATTGTGGAGTCTGAATGTTTGAACTTGGTTAGATTACTGGATAAGGGCGATGAAGACCGAACTGAGCTGGGTGTGTGGTGCAAGGAAATTCGAGATCTAGCTGAAGTCAACTCGGGTTTGTCTGGGAGAAGGGTTGAATGGGCTTATGTGCCGAGAGATTCTAATTGTGTTGCCCACTACTTGGCCCATTTGGATATTCATGGGAACCATTTCTGTATCTGGACTGATAGTCCACCTTGCTCCATTAGGAGCCTGTTAGAGGCTGACAAAGCCCAAAACGCATATTATTAATCTATGCTAGCAGGGCTTTTCTTTCAAAAAAATTTAATAGAGAGCGGGAAGATGGAAAGTCTCCTTCCTTTTTCCAACTTTTAATATTCTCCCTCTTTTTCAGTTTTTTTAACTAAACCAAAATAGGGATAGAGGGATTAACGGAAGGGAATTCTTCTACCAAAAAATGGAAGGGAATCTTTTTTATTTGTAAGTAACCCTTCATTCTATGATGATAATTAAATTTTAGTTTCATAATTTTTTTGTGTAATGATTTTTTCTTTTAGACTCGATAATTCTTTTTATAATGCTGTTAATCATGAAGTCAAAGTTTTACAACCAAAAAAAAAAAAATCATGAAGCCAAATTGATATACATGATTTGGCTTCATTTTCTTTTACAATCATTTTCTATCGCTATTCGGTATGCTTAATAAGAACAAATATTTTATGTTCATAATAAGAAGACATCATTATAAACACTGGTTTGTATATATTTTTTTAGTTTGGTACCTTCCAAATATTAATTGAGTAGAATAACAAGTCTTCAACAAAACTATCTAAAAGTAATTGTCGAAAATACTAGTATAATATCCAATTTCAGTTATCTCCTTAAAATAAACGATTATCGTAAAAAAATAAGAAAAGAATTACGTGCACCATGTTTATTTTTAGTTAGTTAAAAAAGGAAATTAACTTACAAAATTAATAATAAAGAAAAAGAATCCACCAATAATAATGGACAATGTGGTTGGGTGGTGTATGGTGAAATTTTGGGTGGGGAATGGGAAGAAGAGGAGGACAATACTATTGTTAGCTCGCTGTGATATTATTTCTATCTATTATAGCAAAATAGTTTGTCATTTAACAATTCAGAAGACATGATATAATAAAAGCTACTCTGATAGTATAATTTGTCACTTTTGTGTCTCTTACATCCCAATATGGGGATGCCTATTTTGACAAACTTAATTTGACACGAAATATTTGTCACATTACTCACTTTAAATGACGAACTATTCCGAATTTGTTGTAGTATTATCTTCAAGGTCAGCAGCACCCCTCCGGTCTCGAATAGTGAGAGTACTGATAAACTCTAGAATAACCACCCGATATATATGATCTTGAATAGAGAGCAACTTGAGTCATTCCAACTTCTGTACTTTAGAGAGGATTGCATCTTCAATTGCGAGTTAGGCGAAAAGGGTCCAATTGAGACAAGAACTTTCTCCTATAGGTAATCCTTGAAGCCACAGAAGCTTGCTCTTGAATTTCTAGGGCATGTGTTCCAAAAAGTGGTGAGTGACGTGCTCAACGCTGCCTTCTACATTTTCTTGATCATCTTGATAAAGTATCCTTGATGGATGTTGAAGATGTGAGGTTGGATGAAGCTCTTCAATAAACACTTCTTTTGATTTGGATTTCCTTGTTTTCTTCTTTTGACCTTGGCGAGAAAGAGAGGTGCGAGAGGATGAGCTCTCACCATGAGCCATGTGTTGTATATTATCATTCAAAACAAGTGGTACAAATTTGCACAAACGATCAATCCAAAAATCACATATCAAAAGGATAGCATTTCAATGAACTATCATTAGACCTCTAAATCCCCCCCCCCCCACCCAACACTTGGGTGAGACTAAGAATTCGGAAAGAGAGGGAAATTAAGTAGAGAGATAGATCCAAGATAATATAATAAAGTACATCCTTAAATCAATGTGGAAACAATTAATGATCATCACCCCATGCTATGAAGTTGATACCTAATCAAAAAGATTGAAAATAATGAACTCTATGTGGTTGGGGACTTTCTACGAACACTTGGTAGGTTGTTTTGAAAATGTCATAAATGCATGAGAACAACTCACAAAATGTTTCTAAAGTAACATAGGTGGTTCATTAAAATGAAGAAAAACAATTCAATGCCGTAAAGATGGGGTTAATTGCATGGTTGGTCACTGAGATTACAAAAAACATTCAAATTTGGTCACTCGAAATATTCAAATCCATTGATGGTACTTCAGTTACCTGAAACCGTTCACGTTTGGTCGCTCTCCGTCAAACTCTGTTAACTTTTGCTTACGTGACGGCCAACTTTAAAAGTTGATCGTTAAATGTGTGACGTGGTAGTTTAACATTAATAAAATTAATTTTTTTAAAATTATCATCTCATTTCCACCTTATTAGCACTATTATTTAAAATAAATAAAAACCCCAATCCCCATGAATAAAAGAAACCTAAGTCTCGCCATAAGTTGAAAACTAGACATATTTGCCCTAACCCCAATTTTATCGTCCCACAACTCAAGAATGCCGTCGGGTCACAACGGCCTGCCATTTGGCGATCTTCCTAACAAACCTATCGTCGGTCTTGGTATTACTGATGATCGCCGGCTTGCCTCCTTCCATCGCCGCCACGACAGAGTTTGTCGTCCCCAGGCCCGGCCCAAGCCCTGTGCTGGTCAGACCCACAACACAGGGCCTCAAGTTTTATGGGGCCTCTAATCCATAAGCCCGACTGAAGCCTCATAATCCACAAATCTGCTGTACCTCAAGTTTTATGGGCCTCTAATCTATTAGCCCGGCCAGAGCCAACCTAGGCCTCCTTGGGCTGGCAAAGCCCACACAAAAATCAAATGTACAAGGATGGCAACTGACACAGAAGGTTAAATCAAACATACAAGGATGACAACTTATAGGGAAGAGAATCGAACCTTGAACCTCTTTTTCATTAAAAAGGCGATTCAACCACTAAACTGAGACTCATTTGACGAATTTTTACTAACCATTAGAGTATTTAAACGTCTTATTTCTTCTCTTTCCCCACCCCAAATCATCCAAAGCTTAAATATTAATTATTCACACCCCATTCTAATTAACTCCTAATCGATGTCCATCCCTACTATCCAGGTTTCTAACCAACTTGTTTTAAGTTCTAATTTTTTTTCTTTTGCGGGGAACTTAATATTGATTGGAAATTTAAAATAATTAATCTTTGATTATATTTTTTAATTATGTCAATCAAAAAGTATGAAAAAGGTAGTTCTCAGCGTAAACAAAAACAGAGAATTGAGGAGTTTGGATACTAGTAGCCAATCTTGACGGCGATTCGAAAATTATTAAATTTTTAAGAAAAATTTTTG